CACTATCTGTTCTATTTGTATTCAACTATAACACAATGATTTCTCTGCTATATCTTTCACTATATTTCATGTTATCTATTGTTGAAAGTAAACGTAAAAAGAAAATTTTATTACTTGATACTTTTCGTTACATCCAAGACAAAATTGTGAATACTACCGTTTATTCAAAATGTGAAGACCGTTCGTGTCCTGGGCGTGCTATACAATATGGGTCCTCTCCGCGAGTCTGGTTGAAAATACGCTGTTTTTTCGAAAGCCCATCCTTTTGTAATAAGTTTTAGAAGGTGATGTAGCGATGAGGAATGCTGTCGAAGTTTGCTGGTAAGAGACTGCCTCTGAAGACTCTTCTAAGTGTTTTGAAAATTTTGTCAATATCTGTAGAGATAATCTGGTAGAGAGAATTCTCTACTTAAAGCTAAAGTTGCAAGGTCATCATACCCCCATAAGGTGTACACCAACCTTAGACCTGCCCCATAAACATGTTCAATTTTTGCGCGCTGTTTATCAGTGTAGTAAAACCAAGTAAAGAAAAGCTAGATAAAGTGAGGCAGTGGAAATGCGTAAAATAATTTTCTTCTAATCTTTACTTCACTTTTTGTGCTGTATGAAAAAATTTCCGTAAAGCACACCATAAGTTTCTAACCATTTTCAGTTGCTTACATTGGAATGGCGCCAGAGAATCTCCAGAAACTTTCTGGGCTTGTACTGATTTGTGTGCAGTATAGGCGATTAGAAAGCAGCATACCTAATTTTTGAATATATCCAACAAGCTCGTGGTCTTGATTTCTTCCACTGAGCAGGAGAAAAACAGGTCCTAACTAAGAAAACGGGCGAAGACTTTTTACTTTACCAGCGGACATCGCTCACGGACGAACTGGACGTCCTCTAGGATGGTGCGTCATGCCTCAAACTCTAGGATGGAGATAGATGCCTCTGTAACCAAACATATAGTTTCTACTAGTAACTATATTACTACTATATACTATTCGCAATAACTGCGAGGAATAACAGCTCGAAAAGCGATGATTTGGTGGCATTGAAAATTGGTAGGAAATGTCAGATTCGGGGCTATATTTGTTGTGAGACTGTAATTGACCTCAGGTAAAATGTGCATCATCCAAGGAGCCCTTTTCTGAATAAACTCGAAGAGCTGTACAAAACTAAACATGTTTCATTTGTTTCACATAAACTTCGTAAGTCGTGGAAGATATCTCGTCTAGTGAGTGAGTCAACTTAACTGCTAATTTTTACTCTCAGGCTAAGCTCACGATGATGATATTTGGACTATTTTTTAATGCGAAAATATTCAAAAGTAATGGTCGATACGATTTTTTATTATTCAAAAATAATCAATCACACGAGAGGAACTATACAACAAGACTACAAATGATATTATTTATTTTATTTTACCTTAAAACTAACTTCTGCTCTGTCGCCATCGCCCAATCAGTCACCTATATGTTTTGAAAATTCGTTTTAACGTGGGTTTAGCATTCATAGAGCGCGAGAATATACAGTTTCACCATGAATACGGCGAATTTCTTGAGTTTAGCTTTAAAGTATCACGCGAAACTCTGTTTACAAAAAATTTAGCGCGTTTAATGCAACCTATGATTACGTCAAACACCGTTCTTGCGCTTTTTTTTCAAACAAATTTCTCGCACTAAATTTTTCGTAATTTGAATTAAATCACTAATGTAGTCTAAGTGTAGTTCACGTGTATTTAGAACATTACAAGCTCAATTTTGTTTTGAATGAATAATTATTGATTACAATTCTTTTGCAATGTATTTAAGGCAAGATAAAACTGCCCAAAAAAATCGACGAAGAATCACGAAAGGAAGCACTCTTTTTTTTGTTGGCCGTTAGATCATTGACATATAGCGGACCTTCGCGTTGTGATATGTGTGGTCGTGCACGCCTGTCTCGTGGAAGTTTATCAATATTTGAACCTCCCACTTTGTTTGATTCTATTCAGCCGCCAAAAATGGTGGACAATAAGTTATGATATTCAAAAGAGTAACAAGTTATTTTTAACCTTTATGCTTGTTTTAAAAGTGTCTGTAGATTAAAAAGACACAATTTTAGTCTTTATCTGTTTTTTATCTGATTATTTGTTTGCACGGATCATCGAGTTTGAATTTAGAGATTTTTAGTGACCTTTCACTTCTCCAGAACAACTTGAATTGAAACAGCTTATTGTACTTCATTAAAACTGCTTATTTGCGCTTTTGTCAAAAAACTAAATCAACAGTTACGTCCGTAGTTCGTGATTATTTGCTGTATGGGAAAGACAGCTTCTAAATATCTAACTAGCCGCTGTTAGAGGAGTGATTAGTGGAAGGTGTATAGACGATCATCAAGGTAGAAGCGTAGTTTTGAGAACGAAAAAAATTATCTGTTAGCAGTTTAAAGACGCGATTAATCCAAGGTAGTACGTGGACAAACAGCATGGGCTGCGTCAAAAAGTGATTTTTGGCCACTGGAATTTATTGGATGAAAAGTTCACAGAAATTCACTTTCGAGCTTTTAGTCATAAATCCTAAAGGCCATCTGGATTCTTGCAGTCAATTCTGAGAAAACTCATATAGAGGGCCCTGTTTTGCTTTTTTCTTAGAATTGACTGGAAGAATCCAGATGACCTTTTGGATTTATGACTAAAAGCTCGAAAGTGAAATTCACTTAGTGAATTTCTGTGAACTTTTCATCCAATCAATTCCAGGGGCCAAAAATCACTTTTTGACGCAGTCCATGCTGTTTGTCTATGTACTAAGAGTTGAGTTTGTTTCCATTAGAGGACCGCTAGCACGAACCCTCGAAAATGATATGGAAAATAATATCAAGGACAATAAGCACTTATTGCCTTGTGAAGAATTATATTTCGCAGCAGAGTACCTGTACGAAGTTCAAAATAAAGGAAAAGCAATGCCTGATCGAAAAATTGGATATACAGTTTGAATGAAGGAAAAAGTATGTTAGCACGGACAAAAATTATGAAGCGAAGTACGTTTGTGTATGCACTACTCTAAAAAATTTATTGCCCCCCTCTGAAAATATTTTTCCGATCCGCCCATGTTTGCTTCGAAGATTCAACGCGTGAGTAGATATATTTATTTACGTTATTACACATGACGAGTGGAATTGAAAACACATTTTATTAAACTCCTCAGTCTATTACGTGCTTAAGTGTCTAGTCGCTGAAACAAATCTTCTAAAAACGGTGTCACTTAATCTAAAATCAGAGTACTTGAATTTTATACCAAAATGTCTATTATTTGTTTACTTTATTTTTTAAACTGTGTTTCAACCAGTAGTAGCCTGTTGGTGTTGTGTGTGTATTTATGTCTCAAAATAGACTTTCTAGTGGAGATCTCTTGCGTTTCTGTCAGAATTTAATTCTTTTGGCCTCTACAGTTCATTTTTTGGTTTCTTTCTTTATTTTTTAATCTTTCGTTATGAGCAGTCTTCGAAGGAAACGAAAACGTCAGAGTGTAAATGAGACTTTATCGAATATATATGTCTGATAAAATTGTCTAATGATAATGGTTGAAAATGGCTTACATATTTATAGTTTGTTGACAATGTGCAACGATTACCGAAATGAATTATATTAACAATTTTCAAATGACAAGAATAACCTCTCCAAATCGAAACAATGAATCTGATGAAATTAACATCTTGTTGTCAATGTGTTCAATTTTAAACTGTCAACAATCCGCTCATCGTCGTATAGAGTAATCAATGTCAAAATCTCCGTAATTCTGATGAAGGGAACAGGTTTTTTTTGCAATTTTTCCATGCTATTTCGTATGTTGTTCTTTTGTGATTTATAGTAGACTAGAGGATCAACTCTCTTACAAACTATGTTTCTATTTATTTCTAATAAATTCATTTATTTGAGATTGTTCTAATCGACACTTGAAAATCTATATACCATCGTACAAAGAAGATTTGTAGTTTGTTTACCGATATGCATATTTTATTAAGAATTTGTTGAATGGAAGTAAATATCAATTAGAATGAATTAAAACTATTTTATTTCTATTCTATGCTAATCAAATTGTTTAATTTTATATTTCACAATTATACTTAACTATCAGGTCGACTCGACTAGTATCTGAACAGTGAGAGGCAAAGAGAGAATCACACATTCATTCTCTTTCTCTCTCTCTCTCTCTTCATTGATAAATGATCAAATTATTTTATACATATTCTTAATATAGGTTGGTCTCACTTGTTTTCTTTTCAAATGTATATAAGATAGAAATCATCTGTTCGTATTCAGTTCATTTGAGTTTATGTTGACCTTTAGATTGAACAAGTGATGATATTACTTTTATGTTTGTCTGACACATAGTGCCATTCAGGTGTTGTTTTACATGAAGAGAATTTTTTCTTTTTTTTTCTCTTTCTCTTTTCTTTTTCTGTCTCCTCTATATAGCTATGTCTATAGTGATATAATATACTGCATTTTTAATTTGACACATATATTGTATCACATTCTGAACTGTGTATATACTACACTTGAGATAAACTCATCCTAGAAATGTCGTTTTCACTTGAATAACAAACATAATTTCATTTCATCCCTTATCAAAACGATTATAAGTTTGAATTCCAGCATTTATTTCGAAATGATGTTATCAATGACATTTCATAATAAGTTGAAAAAGTTTTGGATGAGATTGGTTTTGTATAGCAGCTTTCTTTCTTCTTCTTCTTCTTCTTTCTTTCTTTCTTCTCTTGTAATCTTTGATTACATTTTGTAAAGCGAACGACTCTGTAATACATGAGCGTTCGGTTCTGCTTCATACACCAAGCGGGTTAAAACTGTAGCTGATTGTCATTTTCAATAGCTTAAATTGACTGCTTATATCTCTGCCATCTACTACTCAAAATATTCTAGGTGCTGAAAAGGACTGTTTGCATATGATGAAGTTCGAAGTGAACGCCCTAATAATAATATATAGAAAAGGAGAGAAAACACATTCTCTTACTCTTTAAAATTTCAATTTTATCATGGTCCAATTCAATGGATCACCAACTCGTGGTTTTTGACGACGAACACGAGGCATACAATGCGTTGCTAATTCATCTGACGTAAACAGTACTTCAAGAATACGACGACCATATTCGGCTGGAGAAGCACCACCGATTTCAAGCAAATTTCTAGACCTTCCCAAGTTCAGGTTTCGTTGAACTGATGAACTGCTCAAAACGCTATATTCAGCGAACTGAACTGGTCGAACAGTTCTTTTTCGCGAGCTGAATTTTTTGAACAGTTCGTTTTGAACGAGCTGAACTGGTCGAACAGTCCTTTTGAACTGAACTTCGTCTTTCAGCTGCTACACTGACATAGTCACACGGTGTTGTTCCCTGTGTTAGAACTTCACAGATGTCGCAGTCATTCAGAATGCTGCGGAGAGAATGCTTTCGTAAGTTAAAAAGAGTGCAGCATAAGGCTGGCCAATGGCAAACTTTTTTTTCTTTTTTAGCACTAAACCAATCCTATAAAGCCGTTCTATGGGTTTTGATACTGAGCTATTTATACCACATATAAAAGGTATATTTACTTTTGACTTAACAATCGCCACTTGCGTTAAACTGTAATATTATATCATAGCGTTCAAGACCTGTAAACATAGACCTCTTTCTATATATCTTCAAACAAAAGATTCTGCATGTTTAATATTTATCAAGCCGAGTAATGTAGACTTTAGTTGCGTAACTATGTCTTAAGAATAAATTTTTCACAATATATCATGAAGAAGTACGCTCTGCACTGCTAAAAGTAAACGACTATGTCACACTAAAGTCATAAAGATATCTCATTGTATAAAAAAATCAGTCACTTCGCTATAAACTTTTGTTTGACGTGTGTCGTTTCAGATAATAATGGCTGCATCTACATCAAAAAGAAGCGTTGTACCACCGATGACTTATACACCAGATGAAAGTTATTTATGTGTCTTTGACATTGATGGTGAAGAAAATATGTACAGTGTTATACATGTAAATGATGTTATACAGAAACGTGGAAGAAATCTTGTAGTAATACAAGATGGTTTAAAATATATCCAAAAAACAGTTATAGCCAAGGTACAAAGCAAAAATCATTTTTATCTCTATGGTTTACTAGCTTTAGAACCTTTACATAAATTCACAAATGGACAGAAGCTATGTAAAACTACCAGTCTGTAATCTAAGGCGGAAAAAAACCATTAATCGTGTCTTACGAAAAAAGAACAGCAAAATGCAGAGGACCACTGCTTCTACGCTCATTTCCAAAAAGATAAGATAAAAAAAAAATAAAGATTGCGGCGTTTAGAGAACAAGGATACTGGTTTAGTTTAAGTTTAGGATTGTGCGATATCGTGTGCTCTCTTAGGTTAAGGTACAAGCCATACAATATTTTCAAAATATCTGCTTCTTCGCAATCTTATAGATAGTTTATGTCTTGTTCTTCGTTCATTTAAGGATCTGAAAAACAAATGTTAATTAAAGTAAAATAATTTAAATGGCAAAGGACGGGGTGCA